CTGCGGACTGAAGGGTCCCGGGTTCGATTCCGGTCAAGGGCATGTACCTTGGTTGCGGGCACATCCCCAGTGGGAGATGTGCAGGAGGCAGCTGATCGATGTTTCTCTCTCATTTATGTTTCTAACTCTCTATCTCTCTCCCTTCCTCTCTGTAAAACAATCAATAAAAAATATATTTAAAAAAATATATGTTTGCAGTTATATCTCCAAGTAGCAATAGTCAGGCCCACAAACACATGTGTAGAGAGAGACTGATCACAACAGTGTTACAACAGCAGATGAAAAAATTCACATATCTCTCAACAGGAAACTGGTTATTGGAAAACGCCTCAATGTTCACCTGTTGAATAAATTACACTACATGCAGTAACGGAATATTGTGGATCTATCTGAACTAACATGGGAAGTTTTACATGCTCTAGTCATGAGCAAGTCAGTTAAACTCAGAGTCCCTCAGTTTGCTTGTCTGTAAAATGGGGTATAAGTGCCTACTTTGTCGGGGTGACTGTAAGGATGAAATAAACTGGTTAGAACAGTGAGTTGCACACACTGGAAGCTTAATAAACGGCTGTGACTGTCATTTGGAGTAAAAATGCTTGTTGTAGACAGAACCTAGACACAGAACCTAGAGACAGAACCTAGCGACAGAACCTAGCGAGGGAACATGGCTACAGAACCTGGCTGGAGAACCTACAGAACCTGGTGAGAGAACATGGCAAAAGAACCTGGATAGAACCTAGACAGAACCTGGCAACCGAACCTGGCTGAAGAACCTGGCTACAGAATCTGGCGACCACCTGGCTGGAGAACCTGTTCAGAACCTAGCTGGAGAACCTAGTGAGAGAACCGAACCAGAACTTGGCTAGAGATCCTAACCAGAACTTCGCTGGAGATCCTGACCAGAACTTGGCTAGAGATCCTGGCTAGGCTGCTGATCAACTGAATGCTGTCTCTGTGTCATTCCTTTTTCGCCGACTCCGTCCACACCTTTGGGGACCCCTGGACCTGCTGGGGTTGGACCCCAGCAAGTGAGTATTTTGAGAAAAGCCTTGTGATGGAGAATCAAAAAAATAAAAAAGCAAGATTGAATGATAAAGGAAGTGAAAGTAGGAGTAGCTGACCCTTTCAAGACATATGGACAGAGATGAAGTTGATTCAACCGACAGTGGATTACTGATGTTCAATAATGTGAGATACCCCTGGACCTGCTGGGGTTGGACCCCAGCAAGTGAGTATTTTGAGAAAAGCCTTGTGATGGAGAATCAAAAAAATAAAAAAGCAAGATTGAATGATAAAGGAAGTGAAAGTAGGAGTAGCTGACCCTTTCAAGACATATGGACAGAGATGAAGTTGATTCAACCGACAGTGGATTACTGATGTTCAATAATGTGAGATATCTGAGTCGAGGTAAAGTATTTGAGCGATTTGTGGAGTGCTTTGAAGAAATTACGGTATTTATTGAGAATAAGGATCTGGCAAACTTTCCTCAGATCAATGCGGACCTAAAAAATCTAGCCATGGCTTTGCTAACAATTTTTGCATCAACATATTTTCGTGAGACTTTGTTCTCAGCATTAAATAATATTAAAACGCACAAAAGAAACCAGCTAACAGATGAAGTTAGTGGTGCTTGCTTGGCCTTGAAGTGCACCAAGTATGAACCTGCAATCGAAGAATGAGCAGATAAACTTCTGCACCAAAAAAGTCACTAATTTCTAGTTTTCATACCATTTGATTATCATTGTTTTTATTATTTTTTTTTCCTAAATGTACATTGTTTTCTGTTTTTGTTCATTTTATACATATTTTTGGTTGATTTTTCTTTGTTAAATGGCATTTAAATATATAAAATAAATATCAAAATATTAAAAAAAATGCTTGTTGGAGAATATCATGTTCAGCATAACCCCCTTGCGAACTTTTATAAAAGCATTCTAATAGGTAAGTGGGAAATCTGTTTGAATACAGACAAAATTAACCTATTTTCATGATTGCAATGTTTTAAAGTAAAATGACAGGGAAGCCCCTTGTGCATGGTTTACTGGGATAGGTCAGCCCTGCCTTCTATGGGTTCAGTTTCTGGTATCATTTACCTTCGGGGAACAGGGAGCCCCCTCCCTCGTGATCAGATCCCCGCAGGAGGGCCTGGCCTAGCAGCACCACACAGGTGAGGCTGTGCAAACTCCCAGGCCTGAATGGTCACTTCCGGGCCATGCCCGCCCCAGCCCTGGGCAGCCAGGTGTTGGTAGAGGGCTCCTCTGTCCCTGCTCCACCAGGGACCCCAGCCCCCTGCTGAAAAGGGGAGGCCCGGGCCCAGGATCCCTGCCCCAGGGCCCCACTCCCTGAAGCCCATGGTCATGCTGCCTCCTTCTGCTCACAGCTCTGACTTCCGTCCCCACTCGGCCTCAGCAGCCAGCCTCCCCTATGAGGCGCTCAGCTTCCAAAAAAGTGAATTGGGCCAGACATGACCTCTCCAGGCATCCATGTCCCTGCTGGGTGGGGTATAGACAGTGGCTGGTGGCCCAGGCACCAATGTGGTCCTCGCTGTCCCTCTCAGGACCCCCTTCCCACCAGCCTTTCAGAATCTTTTGAGGAGCTGGTGGAAATGTTGATTCCTAGGCCCCCCAGCCCTCTGCCTGCCTAGAATCTGCATTTCACAAGCTGCCCTGGGAGTCGGATGCACACTAAGGTTTGAGCCGCGCGGGGAGGGCCGGGGGAGGGAAGCCCTGGGTCAGCCTCGCTTGGTTCTCCGTGTCTAAAGGCCTCGCGAGCAGGAGAGCATGGGGATCCCATCAGCAGGCCCACCACCACCTCATCCCCACTTACCTGCTCTGAGGCCGCCACCAGCCAGGAAGTGCCTTCTCCCCACCACTCACAGCTGCCCTCTCAGACATGGGGATTAATTGACAGCACCGGGCAGGCGGGCCCTTAATTGACAGCACAGCACAGGGCCGTGTGCAAAGGATTAGCAGGTGCCAAATGGGGGTGGGGAGGTGGGATGGGGAGGTGGCTGATGTCCAGGGAGCCAACAGCAGCCCCCTAGAGGCCAGCAAGGAGTCTTGGGCGGGGGGAACAGATTTGGGAGCCTCGGGGGGCCCAGAGGCCTGGCTCCCCACATACCTTGGCCAAGCTGCAGAGTGGCTGGTCGGAGAATGACAGCTTGGGGTTCCCGGGTGATCCTGGGAGACTCCTCCAAGTGGCAGGGGCTTGTCCACTCTCGGTCATCAGTGGCCGTACACCCCAGCCCCCCAGCGCCAAGGCCAAACTCAGGCAGATTCTCTCTGGTCCCGAATCCTCGAATCCCGGGCAGCTGGGGCGGGGCAGGGCCTCAGCAGCCCCTGCCTTGGGCTCTGCCCAAACCGCTGTGGTCCCAGGAAGGATCAGAGGACTGAGGGGTGTCTGACTGCGGGTGAGCTGGCCCCCTGAACTGAGGTGGGACCCAGAGATCTCGGGGAGGAGGACAAGAGGGACAGAGGCCCGGGAAAGAGGGACGCTGAGGCGACAGGACCTGGACGGGCGGTGGGGTAGAGGGATGTTCAGCAAAGGGGTGGGAGCCTAACTTGATCATCCACAGTATTTCTGGAGCTCTTCCTCCGCGCCCAACAGCGTGCCAACCTTGGCCCATTGAGCAAGACAGGCACGGGGCCTGCCCTCCTGGAGCTTCTGTTCAACAGAGGGGACAGAAGTAAACCAGATTAAGGAGGAGTAAAGAAACATTGCAGCCCAGCCGGCGTGGCTCAGTGGTCGAGCATGGACCTATGAACCAGGAGGTCACGGCTCAATTCCCAGGTTGTGGGCTCGATCCCCAGGAGGAGGTGTGCATGAGGCAGCTGATTGATGTTGATGTTCCTCTCTCATCAATATCTCTCTCTCCCTCTCCCTTCCTCTCTCTCTCTAAAAAAAATCAATAAAAACATTTTAAAAAAGAAATATTGCAAATTTTGCTGATTCCATGAAAGAAGCAAACAGGGCAGGGAGTAAGGGCTGGCAGGTGTCTGTGAAGAGGTAGACATGTGAGCTGAGACATGAAAAGCAAGATCTGAGTGAACAGTGGACCAAACAGAGGACACTGCCAAGGTGAAGGTCCTGCGGCTGGAATGACCTTGAATGCACCTGAGGAGGAGAGGGGCCGGGGCCGGGGCTCAGTGGGTGTAGGGAGAGTTAGGCCCAGAGATAGGCCCAGGCAGGTCAGGTAGGCCTGTAAGCCATGAGAAGATTGGGTTTTAGCTGATGGGCCGCATGAGCCTGCCTTGTCTGTGGCTGCGACCATAGGTAACGACAAGCCGTGGTTATACTATGGAGCAGGAAAACGGGTTACCACTTGTAGGAAGTTGGGGCTGTGACTTGGAAGAGGTACTGGAAGCTCCTAGACTGTTTTTTGCTTTCTTCAGTTGGCATCTATTTTTTTAGAACAACTTCAAGAGGTATAATTTACAGGCCATATATTTCACCCATTTTAGTGTACAGTGATTTTTTAGTAAAATGCCTGAGCTAGAAAATTAGCACCCTCTAGTTTTAGAACATTCCCATCACCCATTCCACCCTCCCCCCTTTCCCCCCAAGTATGCCTCCTGTGACTTCCCGTCCCACCCCAGCCCCAGGCAACCACTAATCTGCCTTCCGTCTCCCAGGCTTTGCCTTTCGCGCACATTTTATATAAATGGATCGCACAATCTGTGGAGTGTTTTTGTGTGTGATTTCTTTCGTAATGTTCTTAGCATCATGTTTTTGAGGATCATCCACATGATAGCACGTATCTTGGTTTCTTTTTCATTCTCAAGAGTATCCCGTGGTGTAGCTATAACACCGTCTGTTTATCTGTTCGCCAGTCAGCAGACACTTGGGTTCTTGCCACTCTTGGGCCATTATAAAGAATGAACATTTGCGTGAAGTCTTTGTGTGGCCATATCTTTTCATTTATCTTGGGAAGATTCTTAGAGGTACAATTGCTGGGTCATATGTCAATTTATGTTTCACTTTTTCTTTTTTTTAAGTTCAGAGCAGACAGTCGAAGGAGAGAGAGATAGAAACATCAATGATGAGAGCGAATCACCGATTAGCTGCCACCTGCAGGCCCTCTACTGGGGATCAAGCCTGACGGGGAATTGAACCGTTACCTCCTGGTTCATAGGTCGATGCTCAACCACTGAGACACACTGGCCAGGCTCTGTTTCACTTCCTGAGAAGCTGCTAATCTTTTTTTGCAAAGTAGTGCCCCATGTCTGACTTGCGTGGTAGTTACATGAGGTCTCATTTTATAAATTTTTGGTCACATTATTTATGCACTTTCTGTATTTTGTTAAGTTTCACAGCTTTAAAATAGAAATAAATGGGGGGGGGGTGTGACTGAAGTCAACTCTGGGAGAGTTTTCCATGATTTGCGAGCTTGGGGATGCTGCCCTGGGGCTGTATGGGCCCTGCAGGAGGAGAAACTGGGGAGCCAGATCCTACGTGATCTCACAGGCTCAGCACCCACTCAGCACCCGGGCAGGCATATGCAAAGTACATATGCAAAGTATATGCAAATAGGTCAGGCTCTCCCAGGGGTCCCTCACCTGAGGGTCTCTCTCTACTGGTTGTGACCAAGGTGGTAACAGGCCCCAGGGCTTGGGGGCGCTGGGCTTAGGCACTGGTGACCTTGCTTTCTGGGAAGGAGGGAGGGAGGCTGCAGGGGGCTGGGATGATGTATCACCTGCTAATCCCTGTCCTGCTGAGGCCACAGCTCTCCCTGATCCCCTTATGCTGACCCTGGATACGGGCCGCCACTAATCCCCACCCCTGGAGCCCCAAGGGCTGGCAGGCAGGGCAGTGCCCTCGTCCCCGAGGTTTTCAGGGAGGGAGGGCCCTCCCAGACCCCAGACACCCCTCATGGCAGGGCCTGGAGCCCTTGCTTAACACCGATGGGAGCCTTGAGGCCCAGAGAGAGACAGTAACTAGTCTAGGATCACACCGCCTGCCCTGTCCAGCCCTGGCATGGCCATCCCCAGGGAGCCCGGCTCCCTGTCTGACATTTCCCAACATGCCTGGCCTGTGCTGTGGTCCAGGGGACAGCAACCTTCAGGAAGGCTGAAATGGGGGGCAGGGGGGGCAGACAGAGGACCCCTGGCAGCAGGCTCTTCTCCCCAGAGCCTGTGGTTGCTAGGGTTGCCAAGGAGTGGGTGCCCTCACAATCAGGTTGCAATGGGCATTGTGTCTGCAGAACATTCTTTCTTCCCCTACTGTCTTATAAGGCACTGGGCCTGGCCCACCTCCCTTTCTCTTCCCCGCCCTGAGCAGCTGGAAGAAGAGAAAATCCTTATAAGCCCGAGCACTTGAGGCCTGAGCCCTGCAGATCAGGTAGCCACTGTGGGTGGGTCAGGAGCAGAGAGTCCTCCCTTCACTGCTCCACTCCCTGTCCCTCCCCCTGCAAGCCCATCCCCTGTGTCCTCTCCCTGCTCCTCCATGGCCCTAGGTCCTCGCCTCCTGCCCACCTACCACCACCTCCATCTCTCACCTCTAATGGGGCTCATTAAGGAAATGAGCTGAGTCAACAAATCCTCACTACAGTTGAAAAGGCGGAATGGCTCCTGGGAATGCCTGCTTTTTAAAGGGAGGCACTGCCCAGGCAGCGATGTTTCCCCGGCTCCTATCTATCTTGTCCCTCCCCTTCTTTAAAATGCCTTTGTCTCGCTGTAGAATTTTGAGTAAATGCCAGAGGCCTTAGCTAAGGCCAAAAGTCCATAATTAGTTCTCATTCTGAGCTAAATCTGAACCCAGTTGCTGCTGCTGCTTCCTGCTCCTTATTTAAGAATAGACTCAAATGCCACCTCCTGTAGACCATTCCCCGAATGCCACAACCCCAGCCTCCCCAGACGCACACCCCCTGTCCTGACCCTGTCAGAGCCCTTAGCACATCCTGGGTGTGCCATGTTGTCCAACTGTCCCTGCCACCACACAGGGAGCTCATGAAAACATAAAAAAGATCTGGCATACAGTAGGTGCTCAATAAATGTCAGGCCAGAAGACAAACCAGCACTGGCCAAGGTGGTGTTCCGATGCTGAAGGGTGTCTGGCCGACCTGAGCCCACGGTGAACCCCTTTGTACTCTTTGCTCCCCAGCTATGGCCCGCATCATCGACCTGGTTCCCTGGGACGATGGCTCCACCCACGTGTACGCGTCCCCAGCCATCCTGCTCCCCATGGAGCGGCAGAGAAACCAGTTGGCCGGCGTGAAGCAGCAGCTCTACCACCCGTCCCTGCCCAGCCTGCGCCGCATGGACATGGATAATGCCAGGGCCTGCCTGTCGGACGAGCACTGCCAGACCACCACCTACTGCCGCAAAGGTCAGGCCGCCTGGCTCACTGCTGGGGCCCCTGGATCTTTGGCAAAAGGGTGGATGGTTTGGAGGAGAGAGATCTGGGAGTGCAAGGCCATGAGTGGCAGGTGGAAGCAACCAAGGGGCTAGTCCCAGCTCTACTACTTCCTACCCAGGAAACCTCACAGGGTCTGAGCCTCTATTTCCTCATCAGCAAAATGGGGTTGGTAATGGGACCTGCCTCCCAAGACCCAGTGTGAGGTTCAAATGAGATACGACAGGAAAACTAATTAGACTAGTGCCTGGCACCTAACAGGTCTCAACACATGGAGCATATTGATGTAGATGTTGTTATTATTCATGGAGAACAACGGTGCAGAGGTCAGTAGTCGCAGCAGCAGGCAGTGGCAGCAGAAGGAATTAATAATAAAACCACTAATAACAACTTCTGTCCAATCCTCTCTCCACCTGGAAAATACATGGAAATATTTTTTCCATTTGTCTTTTGACTTCTCGTGTTGTTTTTGCAATGCAGAAGTTTATTTTTATGTAGCCAAAGTTATCAACTTTTTCTTTAAGGCTCCCAGATTTAGAGTTGGCACAGCCTTCCCCACCCCAAGATTAGAAAGAAATTTACCCATGTTTTCTTTCTTTTCTTTTTTCTAAAGATTATTTTTAATTGATTTTTTTAAGAGAGAGAAAGGGAACGGAGGAGGAGGAGGAGGAGGAGGAGGAGAAGAAGAAGGGAGACAGACTGGGGGAGGGGGAGACATCCATCAGCTGCCTCTTGCATGTCCCCTATGGGGGATCAAACTAGCAACCTTTCAGTGCATGGGATGATACCCAACCAACTTAGCCACACTAGCCAGTGCTACCCATGTTTTCTTCTAGTACTTCTATAGTTTCTTTTCTCTTAATATTGAAATATTTGATCTTTTGGAGTTTATTCTGTTGTAAGCCATATTAAGTAAAAATCCACTTTATCTTAGTTTTCTTAAAGTTGTCAAATATTTTCCCTCAAAAAATTTTTAAGCTGTGTGGCCCAGCCTCTTCTTTAAGCAGTGTGGGCCTGTGACTGCTGTGCAGGAGGCATCTCCTCTCCCTTCCTCTTCCTTCTTCAGATGACTTTGACAACGCACACTACACACTCCTTGGTGTCCCCAACAAACCCCTGCAGTGCTTGGTGAGTGAGTGTCCTCTGCTCCTGGCCCTGGGTTTGCTCAGGGGAAAGGAAGAAGGCCTTGCCTGCACCCAGCCCCAGGCGCCTCTGGTCTCGGGCTCTACTCCGGGTATTTCCTCGGCCGCCGCCTGGGGACCTGGTCCCCTTCCCGTCTCCATCAGGGGCTTCAGGCGCCCCTCGGTCAGATCAGTGCCAAGTGTCAGCTCCGCCCTCCAGGGTAGTTTGCGTCGGCCTCCCGGGCTTCTGCATCTGCCCCTGAGGCCCTGACTCCCATCGCCCGGTCAGGACATCACCGCCACTGGCCAGAAGATCCGCCACAGGTGCCGCGAGGGAAAGCTGGCGCCCATCCCCCCGGGCATCAACCGAATCAGCTGGCCCAGCTTCACGCGCGCCATCGAGGACTGGTCCCGTTTCGTGTCCTCTGCCGGCGAGTTCAAGCTGCCCTGCCAGAGCCAGAGGGGTTAGTCTCCCGGGCGCGGAGGGTGCCCTGGGGCGGGAGAGGTAGCCGAGCCGCGGGAACCTGGAGTCCGGGATCAGCAGCGCTGACTACGGACGGGAGGGGCTGGGGGTGGCGCTCCAGAAAGGACAGGGCGGGGAAGCTGGGGAGCAGTGGGGGCACTAAGAGGGAAGGGCTGAGACGCATTGAGGGAGATGGAAGCGACGTTCGTCTTAGGGACAGGATGGAGCCCGGTATGAGGCAGGAGCCTTTGGGCTGAGGCTGAGCCCAGGGTGGGTTCTGCGACCCGCGAAGAAGGGTCTGGAGGCGGGGCTTGTTCCCGCCGCTCAGTGGAGGTGGGACAGGTTCTAAGCAGGTGTGGGCGGGGCTGGGTCTAGGGGCGGGGCTCAGGTGAGAGAGAGGGCGGGGCTCGCTCCGAGTGTGCTCGGGGCGGGAGATGGGCGCTCTCTCCGCAGTCGAGAGTTTCAGCGGCTACGCGGTGCGCTATTTGAAGCCGGAGTTGACCCAGAACTGGCGGGTAGGCAGGGCTGCGCTGGCCCGTCCTTGGGGCCCGGCAGGGTGGAGGGAGGAACGGCTAGCCCGGGATGGGGCGTGGGCAGAGGGAGGGTCGAGATCTCCCGCAGAGAGCGCTGTGTGGGGCGTGAGCGGGGTGGGGTTGGGGGGTGCATGTCTCCCGGCTCACGGACCACCCCCATCCCTCTGGCCTGCCCCAGTACTGTCTCAACCAGAACCCCAGCCTGGACCGCTACGGACAGAAGCCCCTGCCTTTCGATTCCCTGTAAGTGAGGCCACAGCGCCCCCCGCCCCACCCCTCCCTGGGCCCCTGTGAGATGAGGGAAAATTCGTTGGCTCCACTACACCACAAGAAAATCGCAATTTCAAAATGAATAACTGTGGAACTTCTGCCGAACGGAGCCCCCTGTCCCCCAGTCCCTGGCAACCTCACCCTTTCGGGTGGCCGAAGGTGCAGCGTAATCCTAGTGGCCTGGAGGCTCCCGAGGTGGGAGCGAGGTTCCCTAAGATGGGAATGTGCCTCCCCACCCCGTTCACCCTCCTTCCTCTCC